TGCAGTCCTCTGAGACCTAGGAAGTGTCCTAGAGGGCTCCGGGGGGGGGGGGGGGGTTGGGGTGCTGACACCTCCATCTTGACTAAGGGAATCCAGCAGTGAAACAGTGAAACATGCGCAAAGCATGCTGCCCTTTGTGAGTGGGCTGCAGTCCTGTGAGACCTTGGAAGTGTCCTAGAGAGCTCAGTGCCCATCACTGTAGCCTCATTAGCACACATCAGTGAAGGAGAAAAATCACCTATTTACAAAATGTTATATAAACATAAGCGAAGAAAAAAATTTATTTTTCAAAATTTTCAGTGCTTTTTGGTTTGTTTAAGAAAAAATTAACCCAGAGGTGATTAAATACCACCAAAATAAAGCTCTATCTGTTTAAAAAAAATGATAAAAATTTCATATGGGTACAGTGTTGCATGACCGCGCAATTGTCATTCAAAGTGCGACAGCGCGCTGGAAATTCTGGAAATGCCCGGTAGGCAGGTAGGAAGGGGGTATAAGTGCCCGGTAGGCAGGAAGGGGGTAGAAGTGCCCGGGCAGGAAGGGGGTAGAAGGCAGGAAGGGGGTAGAAGTGCCGGTAGGCAGGAAGGGGGTAGAAGTGCCCGGTAGGCAGGAAGGGGGTATAGAAGTGCCCGGTAGGCAGGAAGGGGGTAGAAGTGCCCGGTAGGCAGGAAGGGGGTAGAAGTGCCCTGGTAGGCAGGAAGGGGTAGAAGTGCCCTGTAGGCAGGAAGGGGTAGAAGGCCTGTAGGCAGGAAGGGGGTATAAGTGCCCTGTAGGCAGGAAGGGGGTAGAAGTGCCCTGTAGGCAGGAAGGGGGTATAAGTGTCCGGTAGGCAGGAAGGGGGTATAAGTGCCTTGTGGGCAGGAAGGGGGTATAAGTGCCTTGTAGGCAGGAAGGGGGTATAAGTGTCCGGTAGGCAGGAAGGGGGTATAAGTGCCTTGTGGGCAGGAAGGGGGTATAAGTGCCTTGTAGGCAGGAAGAGGGTATAAGTGCCCTGTAGGCAGGAAGGGGGTAAGTGCCCTGTAGGCAGGAAGGGGGTATAAGTGCCCTGTAGGCAGAAGGGGGTATAAGTGCCCGGTAGGCAGGAAGGGGGTAGAAGTGCCCGGTAGGCAGGAAGGGGGTAGAAGTGTCCGGCGGGCAGGAAGGGGGTAGAAGTGTCCGGCGGGCAGGAAGGGGGAAGAAGTGCCCTGTAGGCAGGAAGGGGGTATAAGTGCCCTGTAGGCAGGAAGGGGGTATAAGTGCCCTGTAGGCAGGAAGGGGGTGACAGTGCCCAGTAGGCAGGAAGGGAGTATAAGTGCACTGTAGGCGAGGGGTTAAAGGCTCAGTGCATTTAAATATTTATTATAAATGGAGTCTGGTAAGCTAGATTCATTTTCTGGCTTCTCACTCTGCAGAAGTCTCACCGCTGGAGCTTCTTTGACGTAAACTATCCCGTTAGAGTGGACTGACCCTTTAACCGAATTATCCTCTACCAGCTCAGGAGATCCTGCAGACTTTTCAGTTTTCAGCGGTAAAATGTAATCTCATGACAAAAGTTAATGGCGGCTCAGCAGTATTGGCTTTCGTGTAAATATTCATACGGTGCAATGCAGTTATTGTTCTGTGCTGCTGAGGACAAAATGGTGACACAAAGGTCAATCTGGATTTCTATTATCCTAGCCTACGTGGTCAGCCTAAGGAACGAACGCCATGTGTGAACAGACACTATGGGACGCGTTCACCTTGGTCTACATTGGCCCACAACCGTCAGCCTTCACTTAGTCATGTAGAACATTTTGGAACAATACAATCTTCCAATAGCAAGTGGACAGGGCAACAGCCAATGAAGATTTTTAATGTGAACCTGTGTTTCCATAATAATTACAGGAAAGAGAAGAAATAAATCCTGTATAATAATAATAATTGTAGTTTGCCTATTAGGGTCTTATTATGAGAAGAAATGCTGATGCACTATAAAGATTTTGGTCCTATCTGGCATGGGAAGCTAATCTGGGCTCAGAGGTAGCCAACAAGAAATGCTAGAATGCATAAAGGGATATATAATAAGACCCTAATAGGCAAACTATAATTATTATTATACAGGATTTATATAGCGCCAACAGTTTGCTCAGCGCTTTACAATATAACGGGAGACAATACAGCAACAATACAGTTCAATACAAGAGGGATAGGAGGGCCCTGATCCTGGGAGCTTACAATCTAGGAGGGAGGGGCTAGTAGTACAAAAGGTAGTAACTGTGGGCGATGGACTGGTTGGAAGAGTAGAAGATTCCAGTATTAGCTGGGGGCAGGATAGGCTTCCCTGAAGAGGTTTTCAGAGATCGCCTAAAAGTGAGCAGAGTAGGCGATAGTCTGATAAATTGGGGTAGAGAGTTCCAGAGGATGGGGTAAGCTCTGGAGAAGTCCTGGAGACGAGCATGGGAGGAGGAGACAAGGGAGCTAGAGAGCAGGAGGTTGTGAGAGGAGCGGAGAGGACGGTTTGGGTGATATTTGGAGACAAGATCAGTGATGTAATTTGGGGCAGAGTTATAAATGGCTTTATATGTTATTGTTAATGTTTTGAAATATATCCGTTGGGCAATGGGAAGCCAGTGGAGGGATTGGCAGAGAGGGATGGAGGACACTGAGTGGAGGTCAGTGGAAGGATTGGCAGAGAGGGATGGAGGACACTGAGTGGAGGCCAGTGGAAGGATTGGCAGAGAGAGGGATGGAGGACACTGAGTGGAGGCCAGTGGAGGGATTGGCAGAGAGGGATGGAGGACACTGAGTGGAGGCCAGTGGAGGGATTGGCAGAGAGGGATGGAGGACACTGAGTGGAGGCCAGTGGAAGGATTGGCAGAGAGGGATGGAGGACACTGAGTGGAGGCCAGTGGAGGGGTTGGCAGAGAGGGATGGAGGACACTGAGTGGAGGACAGTGGAGGGATTGGCAGAGAGGGATGGAGGACACTGAGTGGAGGCCAGTGGAGAAAATGGCAGAGGGGTGGCAGATACAGAACGGTTAGTAAGATGAATGAGTCTGGCAGCAGCATTCATGATAGACTGAAGAGGGGATAGCCTGGGATGAGGTAGGCCAATGAGGAGGGAGAAGTCTACAAGGTCCTGTCCTGTTGGTGTCGGGTACCTAGGATTGTCAAGTTCTACCCTGGTGCGTCTTTTTGTTGTAGAAGTTGTGGACCAGAAGACACAATCTAATCATATCTGGTGGTCTTGTCCTATAGTTAGTGGTTTGGACTAGGGCGTATACTATAATTCACTTGGTTACCAATATTAATGTAACCAGAAACATAAAAACAGTGCTCCTGGATGAACCAATTGTGGATATTCGTAGACACACCCAGACTAATTTTTTAAATATTTTTTTAGCAGCAAAAGATCTGTTGCAAAAACATGGAAGTCATCCAATGTCAACTTATCAGTAATTAAAAATAAAATTAGTTGGATAATGCTTCATGAACAGTTGGAAAGAATTCTTCAGCACAAGCCAACCAGATCTGAAAAGATCTGGAATCCTTGGGAACAATGGAGGAATGGGGGATGGAGAGGGGTGGCAGTGGACCGGGACCCAGGCCGAGGAGAGCAACTTTCTTTACTTTTTGTCTCTCGTTCTCTTTGTACTCTTTCATTTCCTCTTTCTTTTTTTTCCCCTTGTAATAGGGATGGTTGGTTCTATTCTTATTGTTCTGGTTGATTCATACACATTGCTTAATGGCCATGGTTTGACTTTTTTTTTGGGCCTAGGACCTCAGACTCTAGTGGACTGCGATGGCTTCTGGTCACCATTCTGCTCCAGACATTTGGGCATCAGGTGATACAGTGAGAGTCTGCAGCCCTTCTACAAGTCCTCTACATGTCCTTTATTGGATTCTATCTGTACATTCTGTACATATATTGCCTATTTTTCATCACACACTGATCTGATCACTTCACTCATGGGTCTCCAAACTATGGACCCCCTGCTGTTGACTACAAGTCCCATCATGACTCTGAGTCTTGCCTGTGGCTGTCAGAGTCTTGCAAGGCTTCATGGGACTTGCAGTTCCTCAACACCTAGAGGGCCATAGTTTGGAGACACCTGATTTAACTGAACAAATGTTTGCATGTCTTTCTTTTTATGACAACAAAAAAATATTGCAAAAGATTTTGATCCTTTAATAATAGTGTCACTGTCCATCACAATGCAACTTCATATCATTTAAAGTGTTACTCCACAACAGTACAATCCGTCTGTAGATGCAGTAATCCATGCTTGCTATACTCACTGTGGAACCTAAGGGATTAATCCTCCACAAAGGGCGGTTTGATCCGGTCCTCTCTGATCCTCCCCTTCTTCTACTGATAGTACAGAGCTTAGAGTAACTCTGCACATGCTCAGTTTAGTGTGTATTGCTAGAGAGGTTTTTTTTGGGGGGAGGGTGCAAGTGATCAGCACAGGGCCAACCACACTGGTCAGAAAGAGGTCAGGGGTCCAGCATCCTCCAAGAGCGGAAAGAAAACTCCTCCTACAAGCTTTAGCTAGTGCTTGGCTGAACACTGAAGGCACAAGAAGGCACAAGACTGCTAACTGTTGATGAGAAAAGATATTTAGCAGTTTATATTTACTAATATAATTGCATTTCCATGTTCTGTGTACTGTGGGAGAGCAGATATAGTGAATGCAGGGTCCGAGGAGAGCAGATATAGTGAATGCAGGGTACGGGGAGAGCAGATATAGTGATTGCAGGATCCGAAGAGACTGGATAGAGTGAATGCAGGGTCCGGGGAGACCAGATATAGTGAGAATGCAGGGTCCGGGGAGGCCAGATATAGTGAATGCAGGATCCAAGGGAGAGCGGATATAGTGAATGCAGGGTCCGGGGAGACCGGATATAGTGAATGCAGGGTCCGGGGAGACCGGATATAGTGAATGCAGGGTCCGGGGAGACCGGATATAGTGAATGCAGGGTCCGGGGAGACCGGATATAGTGAATGCAGGGTCCGCGGGAGAGGGTCCGGGGAGAGCGGATATAGTGAATGCAGGGTCCGGGGAAACCGGATATAGTGAATGCAGGGTCCGGGGAAACCGGATATAGTGAATGCAGGGTCCGGGGAGACCAGATATAGTGAATGCAGGGTCCGGGGAGACCAGATATAGTGAATGCAGGGTCCGGGGAGACCAGATCTAGTGAATGCAGGCTCCAGAGGGAGAGCGGATATAGTGAATGCAGGGTCCGGGGAGACCGGATATAGTGAATGCAGGGTCCGGGGAGACCGGATATAGTGAATGCAGGGTCCGGGGAGACCGGATATAGTGAATGCAGGGTCCGGGGAAACCGGATATAGTGAATGCATAGGTCCGGGGAGACCGGATATAGTGAATGCAGGGTCCGGGGAGACCAGATATAGTGAATGCAGGGTCCGGGGAGACCAGATATAGTGAATGCAGGGTCCGGGGAGACCGGATATAGTGAATGCAGGGTCCGGGGAGACCGGATATAGTGAATGCAGGGTCCGGGGAGACCGGATATAGTGAATGCAGGGTCCGGGGAGACCAGATATAGTGAATGCAGGGTCCGGGGAGACCAGATCTAGTGAATGCAGGGTCCGGGGAGACCAGATATAGTGAATGCAGGGTCCGGGATGAGCGGATATAGTGAATGCAGGGTCCAGGGAGACCAGATATAGTGAATGCAGGGTCCTGTCAATTTCCGGTACCCGCTCCCCCAAGGTGCCAATCCTTAAAGCGAAGCAGGGGACCAATCTTTAAAACAGAACTTCCCCTTTTGGGTGGAACTCAGCTTTAACCCTTGCCTACTACTATGAAAAATTTACAAAAATTTGGGCTATACTCAGGCACTCATCCTTTCTAATAAAGTAGCTAATACAGTTCAGCTCTTGACACCACAACATTTCAAGTCTGTGGAAACCCCCAATTGCAAAAGCAGGGTGAAGAAATGTTTTCCAAAATAAATAATATTGCAGTGATTTCAAAAAAATTGTTCATTTTTGGTGGTTATGGAAAACCATGGGCATCTACAGACTGGATCAGCCTTCCTCAACTTTTTCAGCACAGAGGAACCCTTGAAACAACATTCCAGTCTTACGGAAACCCCTGTTAAAAATGACTATATCTACAACTCGTTATACATTAGTGTGATGGTCAGTAGGAAGCTTCTTACACTTGTCATTGGGAAGAATTCCCTCCTTACAGATAGCTAAAAAAAAAGCTAAAAATCTGGGAGGCAGAAATTTCTCAGTGCTCAAGGGAACCCTCAAGGAACCTCTGGAAGAACCTTAGGGTTCCATGGAACCCTGGTTCAGAAACCCTGGACTGGATCAAAAGCACATTCAACTATATTAAATGATACAAAGCCTTATGTTCCAATCACATACAGTACACGTTACATCAGTATCTAAGGGAATTGGAGTTTTCGTTTTGAAAGTCCTTGACATAGGTTTGTTGACTCCGTGTTGTGCTGAAGAGCCCTTGTCCCAAAAATGTTTCCAAACTCTAATTTGCAGCACGATGGAAGGAAGCCATGAAGCGAAAGCATTTACACGTGAAAGCAAAATCTATTCAGCTGATGTTCAGCAAGGAACATGCGGCGCTGTGTATTCCGGCCCTTTTCATAAACAACATTTTTTACACTCTTTCATGGTCTTCAGAAATTAACAAAGCGTTTTATACAATCAGCTCTTTCACGCTTCGCGGCCTCCTCGTGTTAGACCAGAGTCGATGTTCACTCGCTAAATACCTGAACATTTATTTTCCCGTTCACTTAACAAGACAGGGTTTTGTCATTTTAGAGGCACCTGTTTAGACTTAATTACAGTCAAGGGATTGGAGACCAAGCATCAATGGCTTGTTGGGTAATCTTTTGAACAAATTTAGAGACAATTCATATTTCAAATTGTATTCTTTTCAAATATTTTAAAAACACTCGGATGAGTTCCCCAACTGCCTTACAGACAACGAAGGACTGTCAGGGTCCTGTCCACAGCAGAAGTTCTGGAAGATCTGGCATTTCTGCCAGTACTCTGCATGGCCGCAGAAGGACACATCAGCCTCAGTCTGGTGCCAGACGGCTTTTATAAGGAGGCTCATCACTTCCTCAAGTTGCTGCATGATCTCTAGCTCCCTGTGATTTCCTGTTACTGACTTGGCTTGCTCCTGGACCTGTCTACTCTACCTTCCTCCTGATCTGACCTCGGCTTGGCTTACGGATACTCTCTCTCTCCTCTGTGTATGACCTCGGCTATCCCATCTGACTACGTCTGCTCTGATTCCCACCTGGTACCTGACCTTGGCTTGAACAAACTACCCAGTAAAATCTAAATCTGTCAAGGTCCTACCTCTCCTCAGACCTTGTGCTGCTCCATGTGCTGGCATCCATCTAGGTGTCTGCAAAGCATTGTGGGATCCTTTATGCTTTCAGCCCTCTGCGGCTCTGCCCCCAGGAGGTGGCAGCTTATCACATATAAGTCTGCTGTTTGTGGCTGTCCATTGCATTCGTGTCCTGTCTGTTGCACAACAGCAAGCTCCTCTTTAGCTACTCATTGCTTTCCTGATACCGACTCGGCTTTGGCTAAGACTCTTCCTGGCTTCTGACCCCGGCTCTGGCGACCATTCTTCCTGGCTCCTGATCCCGGCTCTGGCGACGATTCTTCCTGGCTCCTGATCCTGGCTCCTGATCCCAGCTCTGGCAATGATTCTTCCTGGCTCTTGACCCCGGCTTTGGCTACGATTTTCTGCTGTTGGACTTGCATAGACTCTTGTCTTATTTTTATATTAATAAACCTACCCTATTGCACCTCTGTTCCTTGCTCCCCTGTGCTCCTTTGTGTCTGGCTCCTTGCTCCCTGACAAAATCCTGGAAGGGCTTGCATACCACGTACAGGCGCCTCCTGTCTGCAGACCTATCTACGTGCACCAGAGTGAACCACCAACCAGCACTCCTACATGCGACCTGTGCAACTTTGGGCATGACTCCCACTGTCCCACTCTCAGGGAGACCGGAACTTAGCCGCAAGGGAAAGCCCTCTCTCCATTGGCCTCCATCACCAGGTACGTGATAGGGAGTGTACCCAGGGATCCTTTCACAGGGGGTGTGCTCTGCTCCAATCAGCACAGGATCCCTGAGTTGGTTTTCCCTGGTGAATCAGAGAAGAATGGAGCAAATGTCACTTTTGTCCGGTCAGTCTTTTTTCCACCAGTGGACTGTGAGTGGTGGACCCATTTTGGATCTATCTGTTGACAGATGTAAACAGACTTGTGACCATTTACATCAGGCTATTTCCTCTGATCTGTCACATTTATGTCTGGAAAAGTTCTTTTTTTTTCCAAACATCAGAGGAAGACCTTCATAGGGGGCCCATTGACCTGCCCATGGACCTACAAGAAGCTTCCAACCAAATCCACCTGAAAAAAAATTACCAGGTGGACCTAATTAGAAAGCTTATGTGAAAGGGACCTTATGATGCCTACATTTACTTCAATCCACCTAGCTGTAAGTAGTTAGTCACAATCATCTGGACTTGTTTGTCACAAGTTAGCCTGCAGGTTCTTGTTTGTGTTCTTACCTCCTTGCTGCAGTGCTGTTCCTGATCCCTTTCACATGTGTTTGTCTGTGCTCACCTATGGGCGTCATCTGCTGCTGGGTTTTATTTCCTTCCCTTCATAACTCCTGGCCCGCCTCCTTGTTTGCCTGCCTATATAACATTATGCTCAGTCTAGGCCACTTTGCCTGAGCAACTTCCTAGTTGTTGGAGCTCCTGTGTGTTGCTGCCTGTATCCTGCATTGACTACTCATGTACTGACCCCGGCTTCGTTCTCTGACTGTGCTTGTTTTCTGCCCGTCCTGACCTCGGCTAGTCTATCGGATTTCCGTTTGTCTCCTCCCATTGTACTCTGCTCCTGCAAGTGGTCTCCCCATCCTTAGCTGGGCGTACCCGGGGGGGCCGCAACCTGGTCCCAGCTTGCTGCAAGTCCATCCCCACCATCAGGGGCTCTGGTGAAGAAGCAGGCTGGGGCTTAGACTCCGCGTCCTGGGGAACCCCAAGTTGACTATCTACAAGGGCTCACTACCACAAGTGCTGACGTTTTTTTTTTCTGTAATGCTGAAGATGTTTCGCAGCTTCTTCAATTCTAATGAGTGTCAGGAAGATACCCCAATATTTATATCCACTCACGAAGAATGGGCATCTTAATTCAATCACCATGAAATGTGTCAAGGTTCAAGATGGTCCAAGAGCAGGATGGGAGGTGTAAACGTGGTGGAGCCACCCTGTTCTAGCTACATCATCCCATCCTTCAGGTCAACAAGTCTGCAAATGTGTTAATCCTTCTATTCACATGGCTGAAGGTGTGAGTTGTTGATAAGGTAGAGATGTTAAAATGGCATTGTAGGTGGAAGATAGATGGTGTTGAAGGCCCTCGCTCTTACCCAGTTGGTTGTTCAAGTTTGACGTAGATGGCTTTTTTTTTTTTTTTTTTTTTTTTTTTTTTAACACCAGTTGTCTTTCTGTCCAGAATGTGCACCTCAATGTCTTCTAACCAACTATTCAAAGAGTAGGTCTAAATTTACCTCCCCAGCCCCCCAACATGCTGCGGTAAACCCTCCAGCTCTGCTGCATTTTTACCGCTCCCCCTTTGCTTTTCTACATGGCTGCGGCAAAAATTATACAGCAGGCCATGCTGCGTTAAACCCTCCAGCTCTGCTGTGTTTTTACCGCTCCCGCTTTACTTTGCTACCTGGCTGCGGCAGAAATTATACAGCAGGCCATTCTGCGTTAAACCCTCCAGCTCTGCTGCGTTTTTACCACTCCCCCTTTGCTTTGCTACCTGGCTGCGGCAGGAATTATACAGCAGGCCATGCTGCGTTTAAACCCTCCAGCTCTGCTGTGCTTTTTTACCGCCAATTTAACTGCTCCCCCTTTGCTTTGCTACATGGTTGTGGCAGGAATTATACAGCAGATCATGCTGCGTTAAACCCTCCAGCTCTACTGCATTTTTACCGCTCCCCTTTGCTTTGCTAAATGGTTGTGGCAGGAATTATACAGCAGGTCGTGCTGCGTTAAACCCTCCAGCTCTGCTGCGTTTTTACCGCCAATTTAACTGCTCCCCCTTTGCTTTGCTACATGGCTGTGGGAGGAATTATACAGGGCAGCACAGTGGCTAAATGGTTAGCACTTCCGCCTGGCAGTAGTAGGGTTGCTGGTTCAAATCTCAACCATGGCACCACCTGCCTGGAGTTTGCATATTCTCCCTGTGCCTGTGTGGGTTTCCTCCGGTTTCCTCCTACACTCCAAAGACATGCTGGTAGGTTAATTGGCTCCTGTCTGAATTGTCCCTAGTATGTGTATGTATGAATGTGAGTTAGGGACCTTAGATTGTACGCCCCTTGAGGGTTAGGGACTGATGTGAATGTACAATATATGTATGTAAAGCGCTGCGTAAATTGATGGAGCTATATAAGTACCTGAAATAAATAAATAAATAAATAATACTGCAGGTCAAGCTGCGTTAAACCCTCCAACTCAGCTGCGT